CCCCCCCGCCTCTTCCTTCTTTCCTTCTTGGCACTGACCTAAATCCCCAGCCCCAAGGTCCAATTTTCAAGAGGAAGAAAATCTGATTGGATTTTGTTCTACCAGACTGGGGCAAGATCTGCAGACACTTTGCAGCAGAGGCTGCTTCATTCCTCCTGGCATTCATACACCATGTTTTCTTGGCAAAGTAGAAGGCCCCTCCCACTTATTTGCTTGAAAAACTCTTCTCTTTGGGAGCTGGAGCTAAGGCCATTGTATCTGTAAGCCTTCCATTAGCACCCTTTCTAGGAGAGGAAACAGACCAGTAGTGGAGACAAGTGGTTCTCTGGGATTATACTCAAGGGAGTCTAGAGGCTGACACCCAACGCAGAAAGGGTTACTGGCAAAGGCAGCAAAGAGAAGTCCGCCTTTCGGAAAAATGATAATATTAATCCAGTACTAGCGTTTCATAAACTCAAACACCACAAGCTCCTCACCAGGGCGGAATGGAGAAAACCTGCGCCTGCTCAGAGTTCTGGCACGGTTTCCCCGCCCCTTGCTGGTCCAGCCGGAAGCTGCTTTTCTTTGGGAAGGCGCGCCAGTAGGCCAGAACCTAGTTTTGCAGTCGCTGCTGTTTCCCGCCCGGAAGACTCATCTAAAGCGCCAGCGGTCGGCAACATGGCGCGGTCGGGAAAGGTAGTGAGAGCCGTGGGCTCGGGTCTTACCCATGCTGGGATCTGAAGAGGGTGGTTCGGTGGCAGGGATTGTGGGTTGACAGCGGTGCCAAATGGTGAGGCGAGAGGGAAGGTCACGGTAGTGGGCTGGATACGGAGGGCCGGGACCGAGGACCTATCAAAAAAGCTGGGAATTTGGGGTCCAGAATTTGACCCTGCTCACCTGGCACCCCTCGCATTTCCTTCTTCCTCATTCCTTCCCTATCCACTTCTTTATAGCTCTTAATCCTACTCTGCTCCCTAACCCACCTCTGTTGCTTCGGAGCCCACAGGCTTGATCTAAAAGGTCAGGGAGGGATTTTGTGAGTAAAATAACTTGAAATGTAAAGCATCATATTACTACCTCTATACTAATTTAATATTCTGAATTTATTAAAAGCATACTCTGTATGAGGCACAGATCTAAACTTTATTCCTATCATGTAATCTTCAGAACAACCTGGTGAGGTTCATACTGTCTCCAAGTTTGCAAGTGGGAAGAGGTAAGACTGTGGTATGGAGAAACACCCAGTACTTAAGTGGTGCAAGCTGGATTTGAACCCAAGACGTTTTGTTTTCCAAACCTTGGAGAATTCTGTTTTGTTAAGAATATGTGACCCTTGGTGTTCCAGATTAATAACAAATTACAATGAATTAAAAAATTTTGTGTCACCAAAGGGAGGTGTGATTCCAGCAACGGATTCATCTGTCCATTGATTTATTCTTACTCATTCAACACAGATAAACAAGACAGAAGTTTGAGCAGCAGAACTCTAGTCTCTTTAACTTCCTGTTGGAAAATGCTAATTGAAGTTATGAACTCATAATGATTCTGCTCACCTGCTTTCTTATTTCCACTGAAAAGTTTGTAGCTCCAGTGGAGTTGCTATTTGTAGCAGTGGAACTTGTAGTAAAATCCTAACAGCCTATGTTCCTTCAGTGTAGAAATGAAAAGTTGCTCCCCTGTTTCTTTCCTGGTTTTCTTACTGTTTTCAGAAAGGAACTTAAAGTACTTTATTGTCATTCTTCTTTCAGATAAGTTCCATATTGCGAACACACTTGCCCCCTTCCTGTATTGGAAATTGAACCAGGGCCTTTCCACTGAGCTATGTACATTCCCACCCCTAAATAATTTTAAAAAGTTTGAGGCAGGATCTAGCTAAATCGCTCAGGCTGGGCTTAGAACTTGTGATCCTCCTGGCTCACTCTCCCAGAGTGCTGGAATTACAGGCATGCATCATCATGTTGGGCTGTGAAACTCTGATGCCATTTTCTGGATACCTGATTTCTGCAAAAGATCTTTAGTCCTCAAGTTTCCTAGTTTAAAAGTAGGTTTTGTAAACATGTATTAAATGAATTTAGCAGTATATTTTCTAACTTTTTTTTTTAGGCTTTTATGCTTGGGGCATTGAAACTATGGGAGGTAAATTTTATTGCTGTCCAAGGAATTTTTTTTTTTGGTACTGGGGATTGAACTTGGGACCTTATGTTTGCGAGGCAGGTGGCAGAACCACTGAGCTGAATCCTTGGCCCAGGAATTCTTTCTTTACTACTTTTTTTTCCATATAAGCTATCTGTGCTCCAGAAATTTCTTAATATTGGTGCATTATTTCCAATTCTTTATAAGCTAGGTGAAAATAGTCTTTCCTTTTCATGTGTTGCAAAAGGTATAGGCAAATTTGGAAATCATCTATAACTTCCCTGACAGGATCTTGTCTAGGCTTTTCAAACACTTCTAGGGTCAGGTGATCACTGCTTCAGGAAACAGTAATTCCTTTATTATTTGCTTGTAAATGCCCCCCTTCTCCATATGAAGTCAAATGAATCCACTGTAACTTCCATCTAGTGAGCATATTACTCTCCAGGAGTCCTTTTATAATACAGCTGTCAAATATTTAGGTGAGTACTGTCATATTCCTCTTAAGCTTCTCATCTGGATCAACCACTAGTTTTTTCATCTGTTCTTTATGTCACATAGTCTCCAGACCCTTCCCAAACCTCATTCATATTCAGTTGTAATTAATCTTGGTCTTGTGATACCTGGAATTGGTCAGAATTTGATCAGTATAAATCACAGGCGAGACTGGAACTTGGGGTCCAGGAATTTTTTTTTTTTTTGAATGTTAACTCTGAAAACAAACTTAAATCTCATCTCGTCTAAGGGTTTCCTGCCTCCTTGAATTAACAGTAAGGTTAAGTAACAACATTACCAAGGACTCAGAGCTAATTAGTAGTAGAGATAGGACTAGAACACAAGTCTCAGTATTACTAATCTAGTCTTTTTTATTGTAAAAAAACCTCTTTTCTTGAATTCATTATACTATTGATACAACCTAAACTGTCTGAAGGAATGCAGTGAGATAGGGGTGGAAAATGTAATGCTGAAACCATATCATATTTACTCACTTTATAATCCACTCTGAAATTATGAGTTGCTATTAGTTCAGATCTCCTGCAACTTGCATTCAGTTAAATTTTGGATGCCATAACTTCATTTGTATCCCCCCCCCACTTTTTTTTGTACTGGGGATCGAACTCAGGACCTTGTGCTTTCGAGGCAGGCAGTGGAACCACTGAGCTAGATCCCCAGCCCTACTTGTATCCCTTTTATTTTTAGCCTGTTTCTCTTATTTCATTAGTCTCCTACATATGTGATTGCTATCTAATGAGTGGTGCTTCGCTTATGAGGTTCCCTTTGTAACTTCTTTGTTCACGATTGACTCATACTCATTCTTTAAGGATTGCATCCTTCCAAGCATTAGATTCAAAAAGCATTTTCTGCCTTACCCTTCTTTTGTCTCCACTACCAGTATTGGGCAGATGTTTCTCCTGTGTGTCTTACTGCCTACTGCAAACTTCTTGTCATGTAGCATTATCCTGGCATTGTTATGTGTCTGGGTTCTTTGCTAGAATAGATTTACTGTCTTAGTCTTTATTTCAGTCCCCAGTTTACAAACTGATTCAAATTGTTGGGGTATACCATTTTAGCATATATAGATTGAAGTAGTAACCTATTGCCACAAATATACTTTATAACAAACCATGCCCTATTTGGTGACTTATAACAAAAGTGTCTACTTTCATGCTGGTAGGTCTGCAGTTCATCCTGATGCCTGTTGGCTCAGTGGGACCGGACTTAGCTATAGCCTGCTGGTTCATTTCAGGTCTACTCACTTCAGGTCCATTCTGGAACTCAGGTGCAGAAATGCCAGCTCCCTCGAGCATGTTCCTCTCCTAATGGTTGCTTTCTTTGAGAGAGTATTAGAACTATTTAAGCCTTCTCCAAAGTGAAACTTTATAACTTGCATACGTTCTCTGTGTAGAACATAGCCCCTCCCTTTATCATGCCTCCCCTGAATCCCAGTACAGGTTCTTTGAGTGCAGGAAGCAAGGAGCATATCTCAGAATATTTTTTTAATGACTGTTATTTTCTCAAATACTCTTTGCGATTTTGTTTCTAGGCAGCTGTTGTGCTATGTATGGATGTGAGCTTTGCCATGAGTAACTCCTTTCCTGGTGAAGAATCTCCATTTGAACAAGCAAAGAAGGTGATGACCATGTTTGTCCAGCGACAGGTAAGTTTCAGGTTGACCTTCATTGTGGAATCCATGTTTTAACTCCATGTTCTCTCTACCGGGTAGTGAAATATACCAACCTCCTTACAATGTAACTCAGTGTTTTGGGAAATCTGGGGGAATTTCTTACATGTACTCCCATACAAGTCCACTTACCACTAGAGCGTAATATTATATGCCCCTCCCCATTCTGGTCCCTGTACTGCATATTCGTTTTTATCAGAAATGAGAGGCAGTATAAAGTAATGTTTAAAAGCAGACTCTAAAGCCAGCTGGGTTTGAATCTTTGCTCTGCCATGTCATATTTTTTTTGGTACCGGGGATCAAACTTGGGACCTTGCATTTTCAAGGCAGGCGGCGGAACCACTCAGGTAAATCCCCGGCCCTATGCCATGTCATTTCTAGCCCCATGGTTTTTTGGTTTTTTTTTTGGTACCAGGCATGGAACTCAGGACCTTGCACTTGGAACACAGGTGGCGGAACCACTGAGCTAAATCCCTGGCCCTTTTAGATTTTTTTTTTTTTGGTACCGGGGATCAAACTCAGGTCCTTCTGCTTGCGCAGCAGGCGGTGTAACCACTGAGCTAAATCCCTGCCCTCTAGCCTCATGGTTTTGAGCAAGTCCTTCAACTTCTTCATGCCTAGTCCAGTTTTTTTTTTTTTTGGAGGGCGGCAGTACTGAAGATTGGACCCAGGACTTCACATGTGCTAGGCAGGTGCTCTATGACTGAGCTACAGCCCCAGCCCTATCTTTTGCTGTATAACAAACTACCCTAAAATTTAGCATCTTAAATGACATTTTAAAAAAGATCATCATTATGGTTCTGTGGGAGGACTAGGTGGGCTGGGTTGAGTGATTCTCTTGAGGCCTCTCATACAATTACTTTCAGATAGAGGCAGAGGCTAGTGTCATCTGTAAGCTCAGCTGGGCTGGCTGACCGAGACAGCGCACTCACATGGCCAGGAGATACATGATGGCAGCTGTGAACTCAACTGGGGCTGATTCATTAGAACCCCTACATGTAGCCTCTTCATGTGGCTTGGGATTCGCTTAGTGTGGTGGCTGGTTCTGAGAAGGAGTGTCCCAAGAATGAGTACTCATTTTAAGGGACCTTCCCTATGTGGCTTCTTATGGCCTAGCTTTAGAAATCTCAGAAAGCCATTTTGATTTTTTTCTATTAATCAAGTACATCACTAAGGCCAGCTTACAGGTAAGGGTGAAGAATTAGACTCCCTTTCTTTAATCAGGAGTCATCTGAAGATATAAAAAGAGGAATAGATGGTGGCTATCCTGGAGATATCTGCTCCAGTGCCTCAGTGGCCTGTGTGTAAAGTAAGGAAAATAACGATGTCTCTCATGTAGAGTTGTTTTGAGGAATAACAGAATTATTGTAGATGAAATGCTTAGAACAGTACTTGGCATATTGTAAATATTATGAAATTGTTGCTATTATTATTTCTTCTACTTTTACTTGGTGTGACTCACTTTTTCTAAGTCCAAAAGGTCCTGCTTCTTTCTCTGGTACTGTAGCTCTTTGTGGACACCTCTACTATTTTTCTGGATATTGCTACTTCCATAGGGCCCTACTGCTTCCTACTTGTTGTTCCCAATTTTTATAAATTCTGATGGCTTGAAGTCCTTGAGGAGTCAAAGAAGAGAGTGCTATAATCCTGACCCTGGGGTAAAGATGTGTTGGTATAGGTTTTTTTTTTTGTTTGTGTGTGTGTGTGTGTGTGTGTGTGTGTGTGTGTTCTGGGGATTGAACCTAGGATCTTACGCATACCAACGTACCAAGCAAGCATTCAGCCAATGAGCTACATCCTCAGCTGCTAGGTTTTCTGGTGTTGTTTATGTTGTTTATTTATTTTTTAAGAGTAGCAGTTTTATTTTTGGCTCTTGTGCCTTCGATAAGAATAAGTGACTCTGGAAGCCTGGGATATAAACCAAGTGCTAGTCTCATACCTTACTCAGAATTTCCTCCGCACTGGCCATGGTGGCATACACTGTACTCCCAGCATTTGGGAGGCTGAGGCAGGAGGATTGCCATGAGTTTGAGGCTAGCCTGGACTATACAAGACCCTGTCTCAGAAAAAACTTTAAAAAGCTGGGCATTTAGTTTAGTGGCACCATGCCTGCCTCATAAGCAGGAGGTCCTAAGTTTGATTCCCGGTATCAAAAAAAAAGAAAAAGAAACTTAAAAAAAAAAAGAATTTCTTCCCTTCCATAACAGAGGTTTTGCCATTGGAATATGCTTACCTTTCCTCAAGATGAATTCTTATTCTGGAGGCAGGTACCTGCACAGGCAGTAGTAGACATTCTTTTTTTGGGTACCAGGGATCGAACTTGGGAACTTGCACTTGTGAGGCAGGTGCTAGAACCACTGAGCTAAATCCTGGGCCTCTAGTGTTAGACACTCCTAAACTCTACTAGCAGGGCCCTTCGCTCTAGGTACAACTGGGAATTGGAGTTTTGGGGAATTTAACTGACTAAACAAAAATGAAGAATGACAGAATTCCATTCTCTCCCCATAGAGCACTCCTGCCTACCAATGTGAAAAGCCTACGTTAATAGTTAGGTGAGGACAGGGCTGCCTTTTGTGTCCGATACAACTTTTCATTTTTACATTTTATTATGAAAATATAGAGAAGATAAGGACACCTTTTTCTTCCATTGTCTCATGCTATATAGTCCTAATGCTTTAATATATTTGTTTCTTTTTTTAAAAAATGGAAGTATCTGGTCTGGGGATTTAGCTCAGTGGTTCCACCACCTGCCTCAAAAGCACAAGGCCCTGAGTTCGATCCCTGATACGGGGGTGGGGGGGGAGTATCTTATATGATAAATAAACTTGAAGCCCTTCCCATTGATTTCCTCCCTTTTCTTCCTTACGTTAGAACTTTAGTAGTTATTATCATGCATATTTCATGCTATTGGATGTAAGTATGTATTTGTAAATAACATTTAGTATTGTATCAAGCCGTCAAAAGTCTAGGGAAGTGGTTTTATGTGGTACATAGCTTTATGCTTTTGCGATTAAATGTACACATTTATTCATTTTTACTGAGGTATATTATTCCATTGTACAAATATTCTGCAGTGTATTTTTGTGTTCTCCTGTTGATAGTTTGCTTGTAGTTTGTGCACCATTATAAATAATACCAAACTTTCTTGTCCACTGTCTTCTTGTGTACATGTGCAAGCATTTCTCTAGAGTATGTATTTCTGTCAATGGAATTGCTGAGGTGTAGGATATGAGCATGCAAATTTCTTTTTAACCTCTGAAAAATTTTAACTTTGAATAGACATTCCAGAAAGACAAAGATTTTTCAAATTTTGTATGATTGACTTTCACGAAGAATTAGATTCTGATTTGGCTGGAAGGCATAAGAACAGTTAGCACCTTTCCATCCCCTCACTCAAACTTGTGCTGAAATGACGGGTGGATTTACCATCAAAAAAAATCTGCTTAGAACCTAAAGATTGTCATTATCAGTAAAGTAAGTCCCATGTTTTTTTCCCCCATTCCCCTGCCCTTCCTTCAACTCTTCCATCCCTCCCTACATATAAAACCTTTGTGTTCGTTTTTTCATTTTCTCATATTAATTCCATTCCCTTCTTTCCTTTGCCCTACCCCTCCCACTTCCCCTTTGCCCCTTTTCTTCCTGTTTCACATTATCTATTATACCTTTTAGTCCTTATTTACACTTTCAGTTTCTCACACTAGAGAAACTATTTGGTATTTACACATGTGTGTCCTATTTATTTCACTTAAGAATATGGCCTCAGTGTGCATCCATTTAGCTATAAATGTCTCTAATTTCTCATTTTTTATGGCTGAGTAGTACTCCATTTTATAAAAAAACCCACATTTTCTTTTTTTGTTTTGTTTCGTTTTTTGGTACTGGGGATTGAACTCGGGTCCTTGCGCTTGCACAGCAGGCGGCCAAACCACTATCTGCACACACATACTAACCCACATTTTCTTTATCCAGTCTCCAGTTGATGGGCAGTTGGGCTTCTTCCAAGTTTTAGCTATTACAAATTGTGCTGCTATGAACATGGGTGCACATATATCACTGTGGTATGATTCTTTTAATTCTTTGGGGAAGATCCCCAGCAGGGGAATAGCTGGGTCAAATGGGACTTCCAGTCCTAGTTCTTTGAGGTATCTCCATACTGATTTCCGAAGTGCTTGCACCAGTCTACACTCCCAACAGCAGTGGAGCAGGGTTCCTCTTTCCCCACAGCCCCGCCAGCATTTGTTATTGGTTGATTTCATGATAGCAGCCATTCTTTCTGGGGTGAGGTGAAATCTCAGCATTGTTTTCATTTGCATCTCTCAAATAACCAGTGATGTTGAACATTTTTTCATAAGTTTCTTTATGTTTTTCATATATTTCTAGAAGTATTTCTACTTCTTTGAGAAATTCTGTTCATTTCAGATGCCTGTTTTTAGATTGGGCCTTTAAATTTGGGAGGTCTGATTTTTTTAAGTTCTTTATCGTTTGTAGATAGTAGACCTTTGTCTGAAGAAGTCCCATGTTTTTTGGATTTTTTTGAGACAAGATCTCACTATGTAGTTCAGGCTGGTCTTGAACTCACTGTGTAGCTCAGGCTGATTTTGAACTGTGGCAATCCTCCTGCCTCTGCCTCCTGAGTGCTAAAATTATAGGTGTGTATCTCCACAACCCCGGCTAAGTCCCGTGTTTTATCAAGCCTAGTATTTTATGGCTCTAGAGACCTGCCATAGAGAGGTATGATTGTCCTGTTGTCCAAAGGTTAGGCATCTTACTGCTTCCATGTTGTTCTAATATTGTTTTCAGCCTTCTGACATTCTTCTCTAGGTGTTTGCTGAGAGCAAAGATGAGATTGCTTTAGTCTTATTTGGTACAGACAGCACTGACAATGCCCTTGCTGTTGGGGACCAGTACCAGAACATCACAGTGCACAGACACCTGAAGCTGCCAGATTTTGATTTGCTGGAGGACATTGACAGCAGAATCCAACTAGGTTCTCAACAAGCTGACTGTATCCTTTTTTGGCTGTAGGAGATTTAAGAAATTTCTTTTAATCTAGGAAATCATAATGTAGTTGGTAGGGCTGTCTCAGAGTCCCACTGCTGAGTATCTGGGGATGTTTTACTCTGAGGACAGAGAGGTGATATGTGTTAGGATTTAATGTGAAATTAATCAGGTTGAGTGCCTGGGCTGTGGGTCTTTCAGTCACTTGTCCCTTTTCTGCATTAGTGACATTAAGAGTTGGGAGGCATAGGAAGGGAAAGCTATTAGTCTGTGTGGCATTGACTGTATATAGCAGGGATGGTTAAAAATGTTTGGAGGCAGAGAAAGTATATTTTTAGAAGAGTATAGCATTAGCATTCCCCACCCTGTCCTGGATAGAAGGTATTTTTGTGCCAAAAATCAGATTGGTATTCAAACTGAGAGATTCTCCATTTCTTCTATGGGAACCCTAATTTTAAGGGTTTCCTTTTACTTTTCCAGTTAGTTCCACTTGTGATCACTGGGAGGTGCTGCTGTACTGGGAGTCACTTTGAAATGCTATGTTATGGCTCACTGTGTATTTAAGAATGGACTATGATCACCCAAAATGTGTCGTAGATACTAACAAATGTCATCAAAAGTTTTGCTTAAAAGAATGTAATATGTTAGATTACCTTTTATTATTTATTTTATTACACATTGTGTGTCAGGATGCATACTTTGATATATAACATTTGTGAATATATATTAATGAAATTAGAGGGTACTTGGGCATGTGCTTTTAAGTTCTTGTATATTCCAATGTCTACAATTTCCAGCACTGTGCACTTCGCTGGGAAAAAAGTTGCACGTTCATGGGATGAAGTACTGTTTCTGTCCTTAACTGGCTGAGTCCTGGATGCACTGATCGTGTGCATGGATGTGATTCAGCGTGAAACTGTGTAAGTGTCTCACCTGAGAAAAACTGGAAATCAGCCTTTCTGTAAAAATTGTGGCTTGATGTATTCAATGAACTGTATGATTTTTTTTGTCAATCAGGTTGCATGTTTTTGTGGCTAAAGGAACATCTGATAGAATTCAGTGGTTCAACCTCTTTGTTTTTTAAAAGTTTAAAAACAGGAAGGGCTATATTTGTTGTGAATTTCTCTGGGAGAAATAAATGTTTCCTTCTTTCTTAATTATCAGTAATTTAAAAAAATACTAAGTGGGGACTGGGGATGTAGCTCAGTGGTAGAGCACTCACCTAGAATGCATGAGACCCTCTCTGGATTTGATCCCTAGCACTGTAGAAATAAAAATAAAGTAATAAAAATAAAATAAAATTAAAAAATAAAAATACTAAGTGATACGATCCATAAATAGTTGCTATTAACTGCATAGTATTGTGGCCAAATTCCTAATCCATTATTCATTTAATTATTTTGCTGTGAAAATGTATGTCTTTGAACATACATGCATACACATACTACTGAGTAACCAAGTGTATTTGACTTTTTAGAAAACAATTCAGGACAATGTTTTTCTTTTTTTTCTTTTTGTGGTATTGAGGATTAAATAGCCCAGAGCCTTCTCACTGAGCTGTATCTCCTGCTTTGTATTTTTATTTATTTATTTATTTATTTTTGCTACTGGGGATTGAACTCAGGTCCTTGCACTTGCAAGGCAGGCAGCGGAACCACTGAGCTAATCCCTGGTCCCCTCCAGCTTTTTAAACAATTTTTAATTTGAGACATAGTCTCACTAAGTTGCCCAGTCTGGGCTTCAATTTGCAATCCTGCCCCAGCCTCCCTAGAGTGCTAGGATTACAGGTGTGTGTTACACTTGGCTTTAAGAGAATGATTTCTTAATGTGATAATTCTCTCTTTTAGGGGAAAGAAGTTTGAGAAGAGGCATATTGAAGTGTTCACTGACCTCAGCAGCCCATTCAGCAAAGATCAGCTGGATATTATAATTCATAATGTAAAGAAAAATAGCATCTCCCTACAATTCTTGTAAGATCTTGCAAATAATGTATATAGATAAAGCCTGTTATCTTTAATGTGAGTGGACTCTTTACAGAGTGATTGGTTCATAGAAGTCTTCTTTTTCAGTTGAATCAGAATCTGTCACATGGCTGACTACTGATGTACTGATTGTTCTCTGCTTTCTAGAAACTCTTCTGAGTTTTGGTGACAAGGGGATGATAGAGAGATACAAAAGAATTGAGCTCAATGTCAGATTTTTTTTTGTTGTTACCGGGGATCGAACTCAGGACCTTGAGCTTGTGAGGCAGGCGACAGCACCACTGAGCTAAATCCCCCACCCATTATCAGATCTTTTTTGTATGCTGTTTTTAAACTCAAAAATTGAAGAATTAGAAGAGTCTTTGAGGACATTCAGGTTCTCTCTTGTCTGCATAGAAGACTTTATACAAACAATTATCAGATTGGTTGTTTTCTTACATAGCTCAGAGAACTGCTCTACAGACAGTAGATGCTTACAGGTAGACAAAAATGTCAACTTGGGAATCATTTTATAACACGTCTGATATTTATGTTTAACACTTTCTAAGATCTATAGGCTGCAGGCACCTATATAAAATGTAATTTAAAAATGTAATTTGCTTATGTTTATTTAGAGACGGTATACAAATTTAGGGGAAAATGTGTATTTCATAATTTACTAGAGGTGTCCCTCCTCCCCTAATATCTTGAATTTCCCCTCCAACATTTACTTTTCTTCATCTTACACCCCTAGCAAAAAATTCTTTTTACTATACTAATCCTTGATGTATTTAAAACCCTTTTTTTTCCTTGTCCTATTTTTACTGAAAGCAGAGTGATAGTATAGGATGTTGAATTATTAATCTGGGGACACTCATTTCTCAAATTGAGAGCTCTACCAAGAAGTCTGTATCTCATTGTGGTAAGCCTTTGGCTTTTTAAAATGCCTGCTATGAGGAATTAAGAATCTCTTTTGCATGTGTGTGCCTCTTAGGACTGCTGAGGGACATCTCCTTTCTGTAGAACTGTAGAAAAAGGGTACAGAGTAACCCATCAGACTGGTACTTGTTAAAATGGTGCTTCAGAGAAATTAAGTGCTTCTTAAGTGACACTTCTTATTGAGTTGAGATTTTCTCAGTACTTCAGAAGCCCGGCTCACCTTCTATTCCGTTTGTGATCTCAGGATGTCTCCACATAGTTGAAGCATACTATACTGAGCTGTCAGTGTCATTTGAAAGGGCTGCTGCTGCTTCTTTTTTTTTTTAATAAGTAAGTGCAGAAAAGAGAATGTAGCCTTTTCTTCTTTTTGCTTGTTATTTGACTGGTTTTATTTTTTTCTTGGGTAATATGTTTTCTTCTTGTGCTATAAACTGCCAGCATACAGAATTTATACTTTTATTGTTCAGTATATTCTAAGTGTGTTTGAGTGTTCTAGTTGCATTAAAACAAGGACTAGCAGCACAAAGAACCACTGTATTCTGAGTAGGCTTGTTCCTTAGACTTGTTCTGGTCCTCAGACTCCTGGTTTTAGTTGAATTTGAGAACAGGATTAAACATGGAATCCCTATTAGGTTGTAGAGTTAGACATTGTGAGCTTGTCTTGATCCATCACTATTGCTATAACAAAATACCTTAGACTGAGTAATTTATGAACAAAAGAAATATATTTCTCACATTTCTGGAGCTAGAAAGTCCGGGATCAAGTGCCAAAGCAGATTTGGTTTCTGGTGAGGGAATCTCTGCTTCTAGGATGCTGCCTGTTGCTGTGTCCCCAGATGGCAGAAAGGCAGAAGGGTGCTCTCTTCAACCTCTCTTGTAAGGCCACTGTTCAGAATTCTGAGACTCTACCATCATGACTTAATCACCTCCTAAAGGTCCTGCCTCATAATATCACATTAATGATTAACTTTTAATCTGTGCATTTTGGGGGTCATATAGCACAGCTTGAGTGTGTTCGGAGGCGATAGGGAGGAGGCTACTCTGAGAGTGAAGCCATTGTATGGACAAATGAAGGCACAGTACTCAGAGATAGTGAAAGGGTCAGACAGACATCATGGCATTTGACACCCTGGGCCTGGTTACCCTAAGTCCATATATAACCCTGCTTTTTCAATTATTTGATTATGTAAGCCAATAAATTTCCCCTTTTTACCAAATCAAAGAGGTTTCAGTCACCTGGAACTGAGAGAATACAGTATTGGCTAAGGTAGGTAGGTGTTATTTGACAGATGAGAAATACGAAGCTTTGTGAAATTGCCTGATGTGTTCATTTTCTCATAGCTAGTGAGTGACAGTCACAGGATTGGGACCTAGTTTATTATTTGCCTCAGAGCCCATCTTCTTAACAACTGCTGGTCTTTTCCTGATAGTTTGCCTTTCCCTATTGGCAAGAAAGATGGAACTGGAGACAGAGGAGATGGCAACTTGCACTTGAGTGACCATGGGCCCTCTTTTCTTCAAAAAGGAGTCACTGAGCAGCAAAAAGAAGGTATACAGATAGTGAAAAAGATGATGCTGTCTTTAGAGGGAGTCAATGGGCTGGATGAAATTTATTCCTTCAGGTAAGAAGTGAAAACATAACTTTTAATTGTACCCACATAAATTTTTTTCAAGTTTCAGAGATCTGTGGAATAAACTCCAGCAAATCAACATGATTTCATGCATTTAGAGAAGTATTTCCTGGTTAAGTGGAAAATTATACAGATGGCTTCTGAAAGACCTTCATTCTAAGCAGCTTTATAATGAAACATTTCACTTAGAAGTTTGGACTTCCTTCAGTTTGCTATAATCCATATTCACTGAGTAGAACTTGTATTGCTCATGGGGACCCAGTTTGTTCTAGGGTTCTGAGTTATTCTTTCTGTCCCAGCTGACATCTGGATTGAACAATGCCAGACATGTCAAATATAGTGCTGCTCTAGTATGTCCTGCTCTACTAAACATGAAAAAGGGATCAAGCTAGGATGCTTCTTGGCCTGACCAATGATCTGGTGGAGCATGTTTGCAGCAGAGGCCTACATCCCAAAATGGAGAAAAACAAGTCTCCATAAATTTGTTTTGATTGGAGGGCCCCACTAATGCTTTTAAATCAGTTGAATTACTAGTGATTTTTATTTATTTATTGAAAAAAATTTTTTTTTTTTCTTTTTTTAAATTAATTTTTTCTTTCTCTTTTCTTGATTTTTGAGGCAGGGTTTCGCTTTGTAGTTCAGGCTGGCCCTGAACTTGCGGCAATCCTCCTGCCTCAGGCTCCCAACTGCTGGGATTACAGGCATGCGCTACCATGCCTGGCCTACTTTTTAAATTAATTTATTGTTACATTTTAGATATACATAATGATCTCATTCATCATAGGGAATTTGTATCTGTACATGATATATATCGATTCTTCTTTTTTCCCTACTTCCCTTCCCTCCTTTCAACCTTTCTTTCCTTCTGTAATTACAAAGTTTTGTTTCCATTTTTTTCCTTCTATTTTCTTCCTTTCTTTCCCTCTCCCCGCTCCCTTGCTCCCATTTGAACATTTTCTTCTTACCTCCCAATATCTATCATCCATTTGGTCTTTATGCTTTCAGTTTCTCATGCAAGAGAAACTGCAATATTTAAGCATGTGTGTCCAATTTATTTCATTTAAAAGTGTGGTCTCAAGTTGCATATATTTACCTAAAAATGTCCTTCTTTATCCTTCTTTATGACAGAATAGTACTCCATTGTATACAAAACCAAACTCAAAATGTAAAGAGTTTATAGCCAGTTCATTTCACATAGGTGTTGTAAAGGCAAAATTATTTTCTTTTTCCTTTTTTTTTGAGACAGGGTCTTGCTATGTAGTTAAGGCTGGCCTTGAACTCACTATGTAGCCCAGGCTGGCTTTGAACTCTTGGCAACCCTCCTGCCTCACCCTCCTGCATGCTGTGATTATAGGTGTGTGCCCCCATGCCACGCTAGCCAAATTATTTTTAAAAAGTGAAATCCCTGAAGTACCATATAACAATAAAGCAAACTGTTTTATCTATCTGTAGAGACAAGAGACTTTCTCTTTTGTTAGTCTTATTATTAATTAGATTAGACACATTTATTTTGAGCAGAGAACCTGAGAGGGCCCAAAAGCGCTATGTGTTAGCTTTTTATCGCTGTGACAAAATACCTGAGAAAATGAACTTATAGGAGGAAAGGTTTATTTTGGTTCAGTTTCCATTCTGTGGTCTGCCAGCTCCATTGTTTTAGGTCTGCCATGAGGCAGAAATCTCATGGCTGAAGAGGGTGGTGGAGGAAAGCTACTTATCTTGAAGCAATTGAGAAGCAGAGGCAGAGGGAAAGAGCTTTAGCGAAAAGGACCTGGGGCCAGGTATAGTCCCCAGCATTGCACCCCTTTCAACTGGGACACACCTCCTGTTTCCAGCCCCTCCCCAAAATGACCTCAAATTATGATCTCATCAGTGGATTGGCCCACCGATGAAGTTAGAACCTTCATGATCCAGTCACTTCTGAAAAGCCCATGAGCAACCAATCTTCCAACTCAGCAAGCCTTTTGTGGGACATCTAAGACCTAAACCATAACAATAGCATCTAGAATAGTGTGTGTTTGAGATCCCTGATTTGGCAAAAGTGGCAAATACTTTATCAAGCAGAATGGCTTGTGTGAATTCAGATTTTCTGAGATAATACTGCTTGATGTTCATGAATTCTGATTTGTCTAACAGTATACAAAAGATAGTTTAAGCAAAGTTCTCAATTGAAGGAAAGATTCAACAACTAGAGCTTTTTGAGTAGGTATGGTATATATCTGCTCTAATTTTTTTGCAACCACTGTTTGAAGTATTTCTGGTGAGCTGTAATTGACAGATAATACATCCTGATTTTCTAAGTATAGACATGCTTGAAAAATTATATTTAAAATTTGGAAATAGAATTGTAATTTCCCAAAAGGTTGCCAACAAAATCAGTGAGGAATCCTAATGAAGTAAATCTTCTTAGCATAATATATGTTCTTGTCACAATATGTACAGATAAATGTTCCTAAGTTATTTCTTTTTCTAATTAGGAATACATACCTTAAACTAACGTACTAGTCATGGTAATGTAAAGAAAAATTATATGCCAGTGTAAATTACTATTTAAAAGGGGTTTCCCCCCATAATGTATGTGCTAGTTAGGATGGAGTATCAACTTGATTGGATTTGATATCCACCTGGCTAATTGGAGGAACAAATTTCTGGGTGTGTCTAGGTAGGCCATAGAGTTGTAGCCTTGAGGTCTGTCTTGTCCCTTGCCCCTTCCTTTCTGCTTCCTAGCTACCATGAACTAAGCAGTTTGCTTCCATGCACCCTTCTGCTATGATGTTCCTGTCTTGGAGTCTGCTGACCATGTACTGAATCCCATGAAGCTGTAGGCTAAATTAAGTCTCTCCTCCCTAAGTTGTGGGTGTTGAGATTGTGTCCCAGCAATGGGAAAGCTAATATAGTATAACAAGTGGGTAAATTATTGACCAAGCGTTGTCCTCGCAATTTGAAGCTACTTTGATTTTAGGTCTACTGTGAAGATGTAGAACAGAACTTTCCCATTGAAATACAATAACCATTAGCTACATATGGCTGTTTACATTTAAGTGAATTAAAATTAAGTAGATTTTGACATTTTGTCCTTTAATGACAGTAACCACATTTCAAGTGCTCAATTTCCTGTGGGCCATTTCTTGTTGTGCAGCTCTACTGGACAATGCTGAGCTGGACTTAAATCATGTAGAAGATTTTAGGAAGCTGACTTGTACTTGGAAGATTTAATGCTATTGCAGAACTGATGTAGTTATTAAGTCTTATATAGGAGACAGTGGTCCTAAGAATTTCTCCTGGAACAGAACCTGTACATTGTGATGGTTTTGGGCCTGACTCATCACTTGGACTAGTAATGTCTTGTAAGACAGGTTCAGACTCATTCATTTCCCAACAACCCAAGGGAAGGTGTGCTACAAACTTTGGAAGCAAGTTAACAGGTAGAATATTTATTATTTATTATAAACTAGTTATGAGAATTGGGGTCTCTTGAGGTCTCTCTGTCCGTAACTGTGGATAATGTAAGATAATTCTCTTTACCTCTTTGTAGATCTGCTTTTCATCTGTACCAAGGAGATCAGTCATAATGTCTGGTCTGTAAAGTTTTTGTATATTTAGTAACTAATTCCTTTGCTCTCTATCTGAATCAATATCAAAGGACAGGAATAACCTGTCTTATAATCTTCTCTGTTATGTTTAATGAAGGGCAGGTAAAATAGAATTGATCATTTTTGGTTAAATGAGGCAGCACTTTACACTGTATTTGTCCCCTTCTTTCAGCCCTTCTCATCAGTAAAATACCAAGAGTTACCTACTTTACCTTAAGACTAACTAGAGACTACTGATTTCCTTTACCCTTTGGATAGTCTTTATTTAATTATTGTATATGTATACAAACAGATCATTTCTTCTATTGAAGAAAGTTGGCATCAACTAATGAATTATAACATTGTGAGCAGTGAAGTTACAAAATGGTGCCCATCCTTTGATATCCCAGAGCAGGAATTTTTATCCTCAGGTTCATTGTTTTCAGACATTGCTGAATCCTTTCTGCAGACTCATTTGTGAATATAGTTTTATCATATCCTCAAAGGTATCCTTGTTCCTGAAAAAATGTTGAGAACCAGTGGCAGAGTTGAAAGAAATGATTGGATGAGGAAAGAGAACTGTTCACTTCCACCTGTCAGTGAAGTGATTCAAGTCATACTTCCTTCTCAGCCAACACACTTGTGTTCTGGCTCTCTCCCAACTTGTGGTTGTCATTTTCCTGCCATTCTCTACTGTTCCTCTCTTTATAAAAGTAAACAATAGCTCACTTCTCATTCTAGAAAACTGAATCATGTAGTACAAGTTAACATTTTTAAATTGTTACTTTCATCGTATGTTTTTCTTTATTAAGTGAGAGTCTGAGACAACTGTGCATTTTCAAGAAAATTGAAAGGCATTCCATGCCCTGGCCCTGCCAACTGACCATTGGCTCCAACCTATCTATAAAGATTGTGGCCTATAAATCGGTAAGTGGTAGTTATATATTTTTAAAATACATGTTACCAGGCAGATAAAAACACTTATGTAAGGAGCTGACAATTCATGTGCGGGTTATTCAGAGCATAATTACTGCTTCTCTAGCTGCTCTCCCTTTATTCATTTAATCATTAAGCTTTATGTAGAAGGCATTCTAGGAGAGAAGTTTTAAGAATTGTGTATAATAGAGTTTAATTCCCCCCTCTTTCTCTGCATTGATAATTGACTGTTAATCATGAGTTCAGATCTTTCTTTTAAGAAAAAAAATGCAGTGCATTAAGTTGTCATTGTAATATTATTGCAGAATTGTAGACAATGGAGCAGAGTTAAGTTCAGAGTTTTGGAGGTTCAGTCATACCTGATTCAGTTATTAATGATCTGATAGTAACAACATCTGTGAAATGTCAAAAACTGATGAGTTGCTACTGTAAAATTGTATTTCATAATATATGTACATTTGTGCATATTAGTGCACTGTCAACAGTGAGTTGCTTCTGGTGATTATTTGATGAATATCCAGTCTGAGTAGGAGTCTCTGATTCATGCCTGCACATGTGCTTCCTTGCTTTTTTCTTTAAATGTACAAAAAATAAAAATATTCTAAGTACATAAAATTTTTGTGTATTCAAAACTTAATTCTGAAACACATGATATGTCATAAGAACCTGTAAGGGAGTACTTTTATTTATTTATTTATTTATTTATTTATTAGTTCTTTTATTGGTACATTTTAGGTATACAATTCATTTACATTTATCATTGGGTGTTTGTGCCTGGACATGATATATCTTGGTTCTTGTTTTTTTCCCCATTACCCGTGCACCCTTCACCCCCTCTGCCCTTCCCTATTTACATAGATTTCATTTCCTTTTTTTTTTTTCTTTTCTCATAGTTTTTCCTTTCCCTCTTTTCTTTTCCCCTTCCCCTCCCTTCACTCCTTTGTGTTTGGACCTTTTTTCCTATT